AAAAAAAAAAAAAAAAAAAAAAAAAAAAAAAAAGCGAATGAACAGTGCGAACGATGTTGAGAATGATTTAGCGAGTAATGAGAGAGAAAGAGTGAGAGAGAGAGAGAGGAGAGAGAGAATGAGCTAAAGAGCGAAGAGAGTGACGAATAAAGGTTCAAAGTACAATAATTGTATGACGTAACACTTGAAGTTCTTTTGAAACCATAATTTGTTGTTTTTCCAAAGCGCCTCTTCGAAGAAACTCTCAAAGAGAGATAAAGAGAGAGGTAGAGCTCGAAGATGGCACACGTATAGAGAGGGAAGGTGGCTCGAGAAGAAAAAGGATTTTAAGGTCTAAAAGAAGATGAGGACGAAAGAGAAGAAACACAAGGACCACCGCGTCCGAGAAGTCGTAGACAGCAAAGGAGAATTATTGGCAAAACAAACGTGGCACACCAGCTCGAAAGTGCAAAGCGTAACGAGGCACGAATTCATAAACCACACGTGCTGCTCTCGCTACGAGCGTGCAAGTATGTACATATTGCTATGAGATATATTAGCGTAGAGTGGTACCTATGGTCAGGACTAGGAGTGTAGATGGTAAACGTGTAAAAAAAAGCATCGGCAGTATACGTCAAAGCGAATCGCAAACGCAGAGAAACAATATCCCGACACTTGGGAGCTGTCCGAGGGTGAGACAGGGAATATGTTTGGAAGGCGTATTAAAATTAGCCGTTAACTGTTTCAAAGCGTTTCGCGCGGGGTTCCTTGCCAAAATATACAAAGCCTGTAAGACTACCTAGTACTACGCGTGAGAACTGCCATGGATGCATTTGGAGCTGCTGCCAATTAGAATATCAGGTGGGTCAGTCATAACGATGTCACTTGATTCATGAATTATTATCAAAGTGCATTAAGCGGTATACATTGGTCAGCTGTGTGCAATAATAATAATGACGAGAGGTTAAATTGGACGACTTGCATAAGATTTTTGGACATTGTTGTCGTATAAAAACAGGCTTATATAGGTTGGGTCTAGGGTATTTCTTGGTGATTTATTTTTTAATAAATCTAGGGAAAAATCAAGTGGCTAGAGTCCTGCAGGAATTCAGGACGAAATATCGAAGGAGGATCGCCTTGAGGTTTCTGTCTGTGCTCTGCTACCCACGCCGTTCATAGGCGTCGGATCGTGCGAATCCTTTGGTCAAAATGGCGCGGGATCTTTAGGCATAAACTGGTCCTAGGAGTCCGCATGGAAGCCCGTTTCTATGTTGTAGGTGCCACCTTGTAACGTGGGTAGAGACGCTAATGCGTGGGTCTAGGAGTGAGAGTGCGTGAGGAACTCAGAGACTATGATGACTCTCACACTGGACGGATCTGCCTGGAAGGTGAATGAGTATGAGGGAGAAGGAGAAAGAATCGGTAGGAGTTCGAGAAAGAAAGATTCTTGGGAGGATCGAACCTCCGCCAGTGAGGTTAGTGGCCGCTGCCGAGTTCGAATCCCTGAGTGTACCTACGTACTTACGTATACGTACGTACGTGGCGAATCTCATCTGGATATATCATGAGTATCAGGACTATAGGGACCGGGTGGATCCTTTATCCAAGAAATCCAGAAACCTGATTGTGTCTCTTTTAGATATGCTTGAGGATGGAATCCTGTGATACAAAGCTGGACTCTTAAAGGACACGTAGCGCATTTCAATATGGAGTACGAAGTTAGGAACTGTTTGACAAGTCATGAACGTAGGTAAGGTATACGTTCCGAGGATATGAAAGAAAAATAATTTTTGAGATTTTATTCTCTTCCAAATAATAACGTCCGTCGGGAGACGTTCTGAGAATACCAAATGAGACGAACGGGACAGTTATAGTGGAGCTATTTACGAGGTATGCTTCCATTTGATGTTAGAATAATACAAAGTTGAATTACGGTTTTTGTTAACGGTTTGAATAATTTTTATCTTTTTTGTTGTTGCTATTAAAAATTGCTAGAGAGAGGGGGAGGTGGGAGGGTTTGATAAAAGAAAAGTGATTTCTGATCGTGGGGGCTGAAGAGGTGTGGGCGCCATCAAGGCCTCCTACTCGCCATTTACGGTCTGGTAGAGAGTCTGACGAGGTGCAGGAGAGAGAGCCTGCCATTTTGGTCGAGCTGGTGAACCGGGCCCGGATTACAAACAGGGCCCCGCTTTCCAGAGCGTTTTAAACGGCCCCCCCGGGCCAGATTCAGTTTGGCAGGAGCGGCTTTGATTTTTGTACGGACCCTGGGTCTGCAGATGGTACAAGTAAATTATTGGAATTTGTACCGTCTTGACGAAAGCACGTGTAGCCAGTTCTTCGTGAAGATTATAAGTAACAGAATGAAAGTCAATAAGTGAAAAGCTAAGAAATAAAGAATGGGCGAATTCTCATACAGCGCAGGAAGAGGTATGCGTGAAGAGGAGACTATTCGGAATCAGCAGCGTGGCTCCGATGTAAAGCGGAGGAGTAGGAGTGTTCACTGGTAGCACGGGGTCTCACAGTGGGGCCCCGAAAGGGGGACTTGCCGGGGAAGACTCGAGAGTGGATCGAGTAGCAGTCGCTAGTCGCGATCGTTCCCTCGTTCCCGTGGCATCCAGAAAAGTTCTGCTCTTGCGAAGGTAATCCTGGCGTCCTTCGAGAGGGACACGAGGATAATCCTGATCCCTGAACGGTTAGTGGGTGACAGTGAGTGATTTTAAGAATCATAATTAATTACCAAGGACCCGGAGACCTAAGGCAGAACTGGGAGTAAGGAATTTCGCGAATAACGGATCGCCGAGGAGTTTGCGTTAGTAAAAGAATAATTTATAATTCTTATATAATTTGGAAAATTTTCATACAAAAGTTTTTAATAGTTCACAGCCCATGCTTATTTCCTTCGCTATAAGTCTTATTGTTTACTTAATATACAATTTTATATATGATAACGTTAATTACTATTGCAAGAATGCCATCCTAAGAGTTTTACATGACCAATCACAGGCCTAGAGTTTCAATGATTTCTGCCTATTTATAGAAATTCGCAAGGTCTTCCTGGCACTACTGCCTATATAGCTACATATTTTCCATAGTGATGTATCGTTCCGTTTTCAAACGGTGTCCAAACGCAGCCATTATTCAGGATACATACTGTCCAGCATCAGAGCCATTAGCTGATGTCTCAGAATCTCCAGAGACAAGACTCTCTAATATATAATGTAGCCGCGTAAAACCGGTCCGTCGCCGTGGTGTCCTGTCGATTTTGCTCGCGAACTCTTGGGTAGACGGTACCTAACCTGCCTACGCCATATTGGAATATATTTCTCCAGTAGCTGGTGATGACGTCACTGGTACAGGGCACGGTTCTACGGGCGCTTACTCACTGCGAACCGACAGCGGCTACGCACTCAATACTGACACTACCGCTGCCTTGTCCTGTATGTTGCCAGTGAAAGTCAACTCTTTGCGCAACAAATATGCTGCGTCCATGCTGTCCTGTTCGGCGGATAATTGATAAGCCTTACTTGACCAATAAGACAAGAAAAAAATAGCTCATAACACTTTGGCAGGAAATTGTGGATTATCGTTGCTGAGAGAATGTATAATGAAGGATACGAGATAACAATGGCTAGGAACAATATAGTAAATGTAAAAGCGAAGGCTTTTACTTTGCGTGTTGAAACTTTGATACTTTGAAATGAAAACTAAGAGTTGCGTGTAGACTTTACACTGCAGTGCATCTTGGGATTCAATAATGAGTCTGCTAATTAATATTCCCCTGGTGCATCGGTAAAGGTATAACTATTTATATACTGGTACTTGGAATTTCTCTGGAGTCCCTAGGGATATTTTTTTAATCTCACTATAGTATATCTCGTCGATGATCACTCTCGAATATCTCGCATTGTTCGAAATAGCTCACGTGCGCTGGACGTACATTCACGTATATCTCATACGAGCTATGAATTTAAAATGATTGGTTTTAGAATTCACTCAACGAATTCCACGGTTAAGTTTCCTTCGGGCGCGCCCATTCGTACAGCATGACTTATACTTGCTGTACAATCATTATGAGAATAAGTTATCCGTAGTTGTTTTAGTAGAGTTCGAAGAAGAGCAAGAATGACTCCATCGTTCCGGAGAAAGATCCTTTATAGATGTATATATAGATTCAATATACATAGTCGGTCGACAACAGGAAATCTCGAAGGACGTCTGATCGGCTTAAACGACATCGATTCTCTTTCTTTATTTGCGAGCAAAAACCGAGACTAGAATTGACATTTGTCGTAGTGGCGTAGCATGAATAATATAATATAGTGCTTTAACATGTTGCGTCACATGTTGAAGATACCTATTGTACGTACTTACTTCAAAATTGAGACATCAGGTGTCGGTACATTGAGCCTGAATGTATGTCCCTCTTGTAGAACGTTATTACCATCCGTGGCATTAGTAGACACGTGCGTCTGGATATGGTGTTTGGTGATGATTCATTATTTATTTTCCAGACAGTACCAATATGCTCTCCACGTAGCAGCTCGTAATTTACAACGGCGCGAACGACGGTATCGTTGCCTGAAAATGACGGTAAGGCAATACTCAATTTTTTGGAGGTTATGTGTCACGACGGCAGGCTTGGTTATTTTTCTGGGAAGTAATCCTAACCAACTGACGAAAGTGTGTGGGATTGTTTTGGTGGACGGGCTGTAGTAACGGTGTCTCGGTGCACCGGAGCATGCTTTCCGTGGGTGAGAGAGCCTGACGACTTCCTCGCGGTACGCGCACAAAATGTCCATCGGTTTGCACTGGGTATACTGGCAGTCAGACTGATTGGGCGGAGCATAGGACGCTATAGGGATTTTGTTATGGCGTTACGCGTTGGGCGTCTAGGGACTTTTTTAAATATTTGAAAATGATCGCAATATCAATTTTTGGAGTATCGATATTAAAGATGTATAATTGGGTAGTGTAGGATTAGTAGTTTATCGTGTGCTTGTGAACTACCCACTTCGTGGCCTCGTGCAGAAGGTCGCGAAATCGAGTGTCCCGGCGCTCGAACGTGGGCGAATATCTTAGCGCACCGTTCCGGCACGTACTTGCATATTGTGTATATATTACTGATTTACTCTATAGCGTAACGGAGTCCTTTTTAACGTTACTTATGACTAGCCGGCTTGTTTGACGTCCTTGTGCTGTATCTTAGTCCAGTACGGCTACCCGATCGGATCCTGCACTGTCAATTCACCGAGAGTGAAAGTTTGACCGTGCTGGACTTCGATCGACTGTAGAAACGACGAATGCCTTTTGTGGCTCAGAGAACTGGATTTTAATATAGACACTTGAGTTTCTCTTGATTTTATTTTCTTTAATTCTAAAAATACGTGGCACTTATTGATAATACAGAATCGCCCTTTGTTCTCAAATTCGTAGCTTATACAATAGTATCCCTGATACTTTATCATAGTTAAATTTTTTAGAGATAAAATTCTTCGCAAAAATATTATTTTAAATGGCGAATGCATAATATATATGAAAAAAACTGGCCGGCAATAGGACGTCGAATATTATTGGCTATATCTCTTCTGAGAAAGGTCATGAAGTCCCATAAATCATAAGACCTCATCCCTGGGTCCAGTTGATCCTTGGCGGCTTAGATAATAGCTAGAAGGGTTAGTGCCCAGTATGAACTAAGGTTGTTGACATGGGAGACACTGAAAGGACACTCGATTTCTACTGCAGACTATGTGGCCACTGTTGGTCTGCTTGTTCTGGACGTCGCTCTCTGGAGCTCGTGGTCAGAGCAACTATGCATCCCAGGGGAATAGCATCGAATACCAGCCAGGACTTCCACCTAGTACTGTCCTGGATGGTAAGGTCACCAAACTGGACGACATATCCTCACGAATCTTCCTGAACCGCACCAAGGCTTACTTGAATTGCAGCCAGGGTAGCATGCAGGTGGAATTGAAATTCGAAGAGCCTTTCTATGGGGTCGCCTACGCTGACCTGGACCGCAATAGTGCGTGCATGGTTAAAGGACGTGGGCTGAACAATGCAACCTTGGAGCTACCATTGAAAGGTAGGTCGAAACTCATCCTGGCGTTATATCATTATTTATGAGATACCTGCCCTGCTGTAATCAGAATCTGATTATAATATTATTTTATGGGTTACAGGATGTGGCACCAAGCAAGATCCTCAGAGGGTCTTTACGAATAATATCGTTGTACGGTTTCATCCTGGATTAGAAATGGATGGCGATGAGGTGATCACCGTAGTATGTAGATATCCACCTCCAAAAGCACCGATACCTCCTCAAGCTCCTCAACCTATAAGGTACTTGGGATAGGATGCCATTTTTATTATTCAAAGTACGAATGAATGTTGGTGTAGGCATATTTCGATTAATTCTTTTTTTTCTCTTCAAGCAGACAAGACGTCGTAGCTCCTGTTCCAGTTACGGAGCCACCTCTGAAGGGATTCCAGATCCTTTTGATCATATGTGCTATTTTGTTTTTGTCCTTGTTGCTGCTTGGGCTGGGCTGTTCTTACATGTGTCTCAAGAGGAATAACGTCAGGGTGGTACACCGACTTCCCTTTGGTAGCGGGACTGGGTCGGAAATTACAAAATTGTCTGATTCATCCTTGGGTAATATTTCCATATTCGACGGCCAGCTGAAGATACCGCGCGTACAGGCTCCGTTGATGGCTGCAGCGTCTTCTTCAGGAAGCGAGGTCAATCTTGTTCAGGAACATTCGGATACCTTACCAAGCGACTATCCCAGTGAGAGTCATTCGGATGAAGAGAGGTCACTTCCGGCTTCATCCGCTGGATCTTATGACAATAAAGCATTTATACATCATCAACAACAAGCCGAAGTCCGGGCACCTAGTTCCTTGTATTCAGAGTCTGTTGCTGATGTGGAAGCTACGGATATGACGGCTGCCAACGCATCCAGAATAGCTACAGCTAGACACCCTGTAGCACTTCCTGTGGAGCCTAAATTTGACGTGCAGATGAGAGTGAAGCGTGCACCACCTCCGCCGCCAAGTCCGTTACCATCGGAGTCAGATGCTAGTCTCGCCTTGGAGAGGAACCTGACGACCATCTTGGAAAGAGAGGAATCTGCCAGGTCTATGGATAGCCCCATTCCGCATACTACGACGTTCTCCTATGTTCCTGATTTACATGGACCACCCAGTGCGATGGTATCAAGACAACAGACCCCGCCTGTGTATTCCAGGATACTCAGGAAGCAGGCTGAAAAAGAGATCATGCTGGAAGCTACGCCACCTTCGCCTCCACCACCTCCGGCCATTATGCATCGCCCAAGGTCACTGACTTCCTTGAACACTGAACTCACGGATACGCATTCCCTTACTGAAGTTACCGACGCATCGCATGCCAAGTACAGGGTGGCCAGCATCCTGGCACCTACGCCATCGCCACCGCCACCGATTGCCCCCGCTACCCATGTCTCTATCCAGCACAGAGAACTTCCACGAGAGCACGCAGAACCCCTGGTGGAACCTGTTGTGGCTACAAGACGTCCCGAGATCACTACTCATGAAGTGGATGATGTCTTCCTGAGAACAGTCACCGAAAAGAGGACCATCGAGGATGTCGAGCGTCATCGTAGGCAGGTTACTGAATATCATGCAAGACCGCAAGCGCTGCCCGATCCGAAGTGGGATGTTACAATAAGGAATTACCCGACGGAGGAGCTGCCACCTCCACCACCAGAGTGGGAGAATTTCTCTGACGTCAGTTCCGCGTCGAATCTGACTATCACCAACGAGCCGACACCCCAGAGACTGATAGAAGATATGGACGTCAATATTGAACCGACTTATACACCTCGGGCTGAAATTCCTTGTAGACCGGGGCTGCTGGAACAACCGGAAGCGGAGCATGAAAATGAAACCGATGCTCCCATATCGAATTGGTACGTTCTTACCAGGGTATTGGAACCGCAGTATTCAACTGAGCTCACCGACGAAGAGCGTACCAAGTGGCGCGAAATCATCACCACTGAAAGCACGTTGAGAACGCTACTCACCGAAGCAGTAGTCAAGGAAGATTATGAGCTGATCCGAAAGGATGCCAGGTACACGAACCTATTCGAACCAGCGAAATGGGACGTCATCATCAGGATCCTGAGTCCGCCGGTTTCCACTTCCCACGGTAGAAGTGGACAGCGTTACAAGCGTGGCAAGTCCTCCGAATGGGATACCAGGTCCAGAAGATCGTCCCTGCCGACGCTTTACGAATACGAAAGCGACGGAGGAAGTTCAGTTAGAACACTCGGTCACGATCAGAGACATCCGGGTGGAGTTCAACTGATACCGGGTGTAGGAGGTCGGATCAGGCGACTCAGTTCTACTACACGAGGTGGCAGCGAAGCTGACCTAAGATCCATGTCAGAGATGACGGTGCGGGACTTTGCCAGGGTAGACAGAGATGACCTGACCAGTCTCAGTTCCTACGAGGGCGACTCCCTGGTGCGCTCACTGAGTCAACCAAGTCTTGCTCGCTCCGGGTCAGAGTTCACCGAACATTGGGGTATGCCAGCACGCGGACTTCCTGTTTGGAGCACCGAAGACGCCTGCAGCTCAGCGGAAACAACACCCAGGGCAGTGAGACGTTCCGAAAGAGTTGAGGTCATGTCGTCCTTCGATGCTGGAAATCGCCAAGGACCATCCGGTACTTCCAGCTTTGCCAGGTCTGCCAGATATGCAGAAGCTCAAAGGGTCACGGAAAGTCAACGTTCTTCCAATTGGTTCCATGACGACTCAGAACCGGAAATGCAGATTTAACGATTCCTATACGATAAACGAAAATAACATGCGAATTTAGAATACTTGCCACTAACTCAGTGTAATCATTTTGCTTTCATTCTCAAGTGCATTTAGCACGATCAAACGATATTACAAAATATCATTCACCCCGGGATATAATAAAACGTTAAGGTAGAGTTTTCATGGTAAGCAGGATCTGCAAATCTAATCATCGTGGATCCTTCGCTTATTGTACTTTACTCAAAACAAAGTGCCGGATTTTCCACTATCCACTCGATTCTTGTAGCTTGTGCATAGAATATTACGAAAATATTATTCTCGTTAATCCGTCCTTTTATTACTGATGAAGATCGAGTGGGACTGTAGAGTTTGGCAATTAGCATAAATCTATTAGGGTTCTCTTAAGTACCTATTATTGATATTACAAAATAGTCTGTAATAAAAGACTTAGCTTCCCAACCGAAGGGTAAGACCACCCTGAGAGCCACAGAAAATCTTTTGGCAGTGCCGTAATCTTTTATATACATACAAAAATCTGGATTTGATTCTAGACAAATTTCTTGGGCGAAACAAAAAAAGAAAGTATCAAGAAAAAACAAGAATCGTACTCGAACCCAATCGCTAGTGATAATAGATACGTAGGTGAAACACGGTGCTGGGTCTACGCTTCATGATATGATAGTTACGCAGTAAGGAGTCTTATAGTATAACATTTGAATATCTTATACATATACCATATTCATAGTAGCCTTTTTTTATATACACAGAGAGACATCCACTGCTACTCACGCGGAGCCTGTATCGATAAATAATGATTCTTTTTCTTATTTTTTAACAAGAAAATTTATCACTGAGAAAATATACAAAAAAATATACGTGGAACGTAGTAAGGAATCTCGTGCGCTTAAAAGATGAGCAGAGGGAGATATGACGTGTGCGCATGCGCGAGAGATCACGATGACACGAAGAAATCTAGGAATACAGTTAACGGAGAACGTATAGAGGGAGAATCAAAAAGAGATAGTTTTATAACGTGGATATACGTTTATCATTATCCGACCTAGGCAGTTATTATAGTTATCCTTTACCAGTAAGGTGCTACTCTGTATATATACTGACAGTGAAAAGGAACGTTGGCAACTCGAAGAGCACAAGGCAGCCTCCATATACATTCCTAACCTAAAAAGAGTGGATTAATCGACAATAACAGTTGTTGTAAATTCATCGTATACTAATTGACAAAAATAAACGTAACGACGCTTCTACTAAAGGAATCTTCTATTACTTGTCTTAAATCAATACCCAACATCGCTGACAATAATATTCAGGTAATGAAATATATCTGATTTGACACATGTATTCAATATTGCTTTCTACCTCGTTCAGGAAATATCCTGAAACTTTAAAGCTCGTACAGGAGCACATTTCGCATGCGCACACCAGCAGCCACTTCTTTGTATGTATTGGCGATTGCGAAAAGGTAAACGTACCAGTATAGTGGACGTACCACGTAAGCGCAAACGGGCTGGCGAGATTGGTTAGATAGTTGGAGGGGTTGAAGTTACCCCAGTGCTCATAGAAACCCCTTATATCAACACCTGCATTCAGTCCTGGAGTAGTACTCAACCTGGTGTCAAGGAAGTTTGAAAACCGTGTAAGATACAGCGTTCAATTGATTAACTCAGTATACAATAATATTAATACTGGAGGAAGAGACAGTAGAATAAAGAGGAAATAATTTCTGTAAATATTCGTTCCAATTATTTTTATTCCTCTAATGGCATCGTGGAATAAGGAGAAAATCGGACCTAACGGCCGATTTATATTCAAGATATACGAATCCACAAGGGTATGCTATAGTCGCGTTAATTGGCGATAGATAACTGATTTACTGACGAAAGAAATCTGAATTACGGTGGCAATAGTCGACATGAGTTCCGTGAGACGTGGAAATAAATCTGGCAAGGATAACAATGCAACAGTTCGTCGCCACGTGCTTCCTGGTGGTGCCACCTCGAAGAGTATGCGTGGTTTGCTCGCAGGTACTTCTGGTTCACCTCTTCACAGATCCAAGTACGAGTTGAGAAGTATTAGCTTCGAGGGCAACAAAGTCCTGCCATGGACAGTTCGGTAAGAGAAAGAAATTAACCCAATACGTGTCAGCGTCTTATTTGCATTTTATTTTCTTTATTCTATAGGTCCCACATTCCTGCATTCTTGATGCATTTCGTGTAAGACCCATAGGTATGCCAATTAATCCATACACCACGTTCCATATCAAAGAACAATAGGTACAAGGATCCATAATCATCCATATGTGATCATCCACGTTCGTCATACGTGAATCAACAATAAGACCCCCTATCGTATATATTCTTGCATTTAAAACCTGGAGAGGATTCATTGCTCCGAAGAAATCGTCAAAGAAAAGTAAACAGAGAAACCGACTACAGACATAGGAAAATAATGTATGCAAAATTGCAAAAAAAAATTATTTTTTAAAAATCACCCCCAGGTAGCTTTCACCACTCTCGTCGTATTCACGGTGCATTAACCCCAACCATTCTGACTGGAATAACGCGACAAGCCTGTGACTAGTAAGCCAATGCGTGCAAGCCCGAGTGCGTGCACGGTTGAATAGTAGTAGTGAAGGGTAGGCGGAGGGGTATAGAGGGGGGTTAGTGTATAAGCAGTCGTCGAGGTATTCATAAACGTGAGCGTCCCGACGCTTACAGACCTGCGTCTGATGAAGTCGGTCTGAGAGAGGGTTGATTTGCCAAGTGGGAACTAGACGAGTACACGTTAATTTTTTAATTCAGATAGACTGCTCGTACGTTAGTAAACACATTAATACGCACGTGTAGTACGCATTTCATAGGCAATTGTTGCGCAATATATTATGTACACACGTGGTTCATATATCCCGTATAAAATACCAAGTGCAGTATTGTACCGATATGAGAATGTACCTATGCATACGTGCTCACACATGTGGATTCTAGTTTCTCATATCTTTGGTCTGTTGGTCTATCCAGCCTAGTGGTAACCCTTTATAATTAACCCTTTACTATCGTTATTGGCTCGAGTCGTTGTGTCGCGTCGCTTCATTCTTTTGTACTCGTGGCTAAGCGTGATCGCTCGACTAGATCACGCTTGGTCGAGTGGAAGCCAGAGGCAGGCAGCCCGACGTGCCTAGGCGGCTGGCTGGTTGTCGCTTGCAGGGGCACTCAGGCGTTTCCGATGACTTTGTCCCGCGAATCGCACGTTACGTCATCGGCCCCGATGGCCCGCATTCGGAAGTGCGCCGAGGGATTGATTTTACTGGTTAGATAGTCAGGGGTGGAAAGGGGGTTGGACGAAGAAAAGAGACATCGCACGTTCGTGGATATCGAATATCTGTACATTTCGTATTCACATTGTATAGTTCTGTCATCTGTATATTATTGTTGTTATGGCAGTTAAACAACCAGACTCTTGGTTACGTGAAACTCTGGGGAGTATATATATATATATATATATATGATAGTGTCATGTAACTGCTGAAACGAGAGGATAGATACCATTTGGGAAACGATTGGACAAAAATAGATAGGGTGTGATGGATGTGTGAAAAGGTTCATTGTATGTGTACACTTATAGTGCGTGGATGAATATACAGACGTTTATCGGATAACTTGTATGAACATTCTGTAAGTGGGTGACGTCTAAGAGGTCAGGGGGTTCGATGCACGTAGAGAGGGGTGACTTAACCCTCTAGACCAAGTGTCTGGATATATAGGTATGCATAAAGGGTTGATGCGGTAGTGGCGCCACGACGCCTGACCCAGACGCTCCTTTACCTCCTGTGCCAACGTCGCGACGCCCTGGCGACCCACGGGCTTCCCCGGAGGATAACACATACAGCGCTTTCTTCATTGAATTAACCAAAGTAACGTTACAGTTTCTATTTAGTTTTTGTTTCTTCCCTAGGACGTTGGGTGTCGCCATCTTCCCTTTTTTCCCTTCCTTTGTTTCTTTTTTCGACTCCTGTCGCGACAGCGAACTGTTCCGAGACTGTATTATCGGAGTGCTGGCTCAGCGGGTCGGATTTAGGTTAAGTGTCGTCGACGGAGACTACAGTCAATATGAGGGTTTCGAGACTTGTTTCCGGTTCTGACTTCTTCCGTGGTCACACTTGACTGACAGTGACGTTATTTATTGATCTCAAGAAATATGATAAAGTGTCAGGGCCGAACGAGAGCAGTGAAACGGGGAAGGCTGGAGGAGAGAAGTAATACTAGAGAAAAAGAGGAAGAGAGACAAAAGAGAAAGAGGCGTTGTAAACACGTGCAGGGACTAGCCAATTGATTTGACGAGAACAGAGAAGTTCAGCCGGTGTGATAACAGCACCAGTCGCTTTCTTATCAGAAACGTTATCCGCTGAATTATCGGCTGTGCCATCTGGAAATCATCAGGGTTATAATGGCGTTGGCTGATCAGCTGTTGGCTCTGGGAATAATCTACCGCACAGAAGTTACCTTGTGAATATTTTGGCTGATCTCTAGAGAGCCTCCGTTTATCTCTACCTGATATGGATTTGTTACTGTGATTATCTGACGTGTGTTATATTATTTTTCCATATACCTATTTAGGACGTGAACTGTGTATACCTAGGATGTATCAGGTTATTCTGTATTAGCAGCAAGTAGAGTCGTGACGCTTAACGTACTTGGTGAACACTTAAAGCCTGCAGATGCATACGTGATAGGCGTATGGATATACGAAAGAGGAGGTGGCACCACATAACCTGGTATAACGACGACGGTGCCGATGCACTCTGTAAAAGTGAGGTGCGGCGGTCGCGTCGACTTGCGTCGCGGCGTCAGTTGGCCTGCGACTTGTGAGTGCTGTGTGTATATATCCCTTCACGTACCGTACACGTATATACGAAAATCCATGTGTTCAGTGTATCCACGTTCTACGTTGTGGGAGGTTACTAAGGAACTGTGAACACTCGGGGATGTTCAGTAGGGGCTGGAAAGTGGAGTCGCGAACATTAAAACATTCTCGTGTGTTACGTGCTGCTACGAATATAGGGTTAGGTTTGGCAGAATCTAGATATCCTCGTTTCACTTATTTGTTATTATGACTATGGATATACAGTGGGGAGGATATTGTCCTTTATGGAGGTCGTGATGTCTTTTGGTGGGACTTGAGTCACTAGGATCAGGATGACGATTATATGATACCTGTGCAATTTGAATTATCTGGAGGATTTCTTTGGGAATCGTGCAAGGGGACGAGGACAGAAGAAACTGATGGATTATAAATGTTGTGTCTGGACATGAAACTTGTCACGTTGCTACGAGGACTGTCATCCTCTTCGTCGTCGTCCACTAGCTCTACGAATGGATCGTCCAACCTCTCGTCAGGCTCATCCTCGACGTCGTCTTCCTGCATGGAGAGGAATAGTCGCTCGCTAAAGAAGGAAAATGGAAGTACAAGTCCCTGTAGTGATAGAGAGAGCGATGACGAACTTCCGGTTGCTGTTGGGAGGATCGTCAGGGATAGATCAAGATCGGTATGCGTACCGGTACTGACGTCATCGCAACTTAGACATCTTCATCGTCGAGCCAGTCATCATGTGTACGTCAGAATAAATAAATAATAATTAAGAATTGAATTTTCTAATAGTATTCTCTTTTTCGCTGTTAGGTCATTACTGTTTTTGCATATCAAAATGAAAACAGCCTTGGTCCACTTTTCATGAACGTAGATATTGTAATTATTTCACGAAGATAAGAGGTTATAAAGATACGCATATACACGTATTCTATTTTTTCATGCTAAGTGTCTTAATGATTTCCTTTTCTCTTTCTCTCTATCTCTCTCTCTCTCTCTTTACCTTCTTTGTGTCACGAATCACTCACGATTATTTCTCAGGGTTTTTTTCGCACACGCTATTACGAACAATGGAGGACGAGCCGCGTATTCCCTTTTGAGAAAAGAAAAATTGCTTTGCCTCCTTTTGACGGTATTTTTCTTCTTTTTTCTTGCCTCTATTCATCTTCTCATCATTATCATCATTTTTTTGCTTCCTCACACGAAAATATTAAGAATTTTCTTGCTTTCCTATCTTCTACAGGGATTATGTATAGGACTGGTGGGTTGCGCCCTTTACATGCCCGCTCTTTGTTCTTCTGTTTCAGGTCGTCGGCGACTGACACGATTTCTAGGAGAGGCGTCTTATCGAGGAGGTGCTATGGAAGCGTTGAGATGGTAGGAACTTCGATGCTTCTTGTACCTGAATGCATTTCTGAATGCTAGTCGAATATTCGAACTTTCCTTTGTTTCAGCTGCCCCAGATTGAGCAAGACGGGACTGATAATGGTAGACGATTCCGAATGGAGAATGGCGACTCTCCTGGTGAAAAAGAAGAAGTTTGTACACTTGGAAATTAATTGATATTTGTGCAGACTTATTGACAGACTATTATTTTTTATTCGTTTTATACAGATGTTTGGATCACCAAGCACACCTGTACTTGAGAATCCCGAGTACCAGACCAGATGGTACTTTAAATATTTTCTTGGGAAGCGTGAGTATTGATTTCATTTAATTGAACACTGTTTCTTTTGGTTTATTTAAATGTAATTTTTCAATTGTATCCTCTTCAGTACATCAGAATTACGTGGCCTCGGATCAAGAGAGAAATCCTTTGTTCCTCTCGGTCGTCCTTAGCGAAGGTGGTGACCAGTGCCAGCCGCATTATCGGGCAATTCTTTGGAGACGAACTGTGAGTATTTGCGTTGTTACGATAAAATTAATATTATTGTTTGGAATTTTTTTTAAGGGCGCACAAAAAATATCTTTACCCTACGTAGCAAATAAGCCAATGACTGTCAAGCAGATATTGAGGTAATTCAATAAAGTATATAAAACAAAAAAGTTTGCTGATCCGCTGTATAATCAATTACAGTAATTTCTTTGGCACTGAAAAACTCGACAAAGCGGCGCGCGAGATTTTCTCAGCAGATATACAAAAGGTGAGAAATTATGATTTACATGAAAAAATCGTAATTTCTGTATCTATGGATTTTCTGTTACTAGGATCTTTTGCTGCTGGAAGAACAAGAAGGATCGGTAAATTTCAAATTTGGTATAATCTACGCAAAAAAGGGCCAGACAACCGACGACGAAATGCTATCAAACGGTACAAACATTGAAGCGACTACTTAAATCCAAATTTCAGCACTAATATTATCATATTCTTTCTCAGAAACGGGAAGCGTACGTTTTGACAAATTTTTGGATATTCTTGGTGAGAGAATACGTCTCAACGGGTGGGACAAGTATAGAGGAGGACTGGATGTTAAGGGTATTATTAATTATTCAGTATGTATATAAAATTAATTTATAGAAAAACCAAAAAACTGTATTTTATTACTATATACAGGCGATATGACTGGCAAGGAAAGCGTCTACACGGTCTACGCAGGTCATGAGGTTATGTATCACGTAAGTACAATGCTTCCATATTCAAAGGACAATCCGCAACAGTTAGAACGTAAAAGACACATCGGTAACGACATCGTCAACATAATATACACGGATGATCCCAGCGCATTGGATACCTTCAATCCAAACTGTATAAGAAGCCAGTTTACACGTGAGTTAAATAATCCCATAGAGTTAATAAAAATAAGCACACTGAATGAAGGTGATATTAAACAAATTATCAAATTAAATGGCAGACATATTCGCGGTGGTAACTAGTGAAGGAAGTGGCTGGCGAGTTGCCATTTATTGTGACGAAAGTGTACCGCTCTTTGGTCCAAGTCTTCCTTGTCCACCTGTCTTCGATGATCCGCACAATTTCCGGGAGTTCCTTCTGGTGAAAATGATCAATGGTGAGAAGGCAGCCTTCAATACACCGACCTTCTCCAGGAAGCGAGAGAGAACCCTGGACACTCTGCTCAGGGACATGTACCAAGAGCAGATGCACGACGGCAAGGGAAACGTTAGTGGATTCTATGATAGAGATAGTTTATGTAAAAAATTGTGAATTATTTTTCAATTATAGAGTATGTTAAACCGTCGTGCTCTATCTGACGTGGTGGAGACGCCAGGTCGTCGCCGCGAGGAAACTCGTGCTGTGGAAATGGTACGTGTGGGTCAAGCCTTAAAATTGGAGGCCATAGTGCGAGGTTTGGCTCCTACGTCATTGGCCACAGTTGGTCCTCTGAAGCCTAGACCCTGGGAACCACGTTGCATATATCCGGATTTCCCTTACGAAGTTGTCTGCGGTGACGTCTGGTCTGAGAATAGATTGATATTAGCTACTGAAAATGGTGCTTTCTCTGTGGAAGGTGAGTGTCATTGATGTTCACTTGGACGAGGTCGAAAACAGGAAGTCGCGGGATATGATATCTTTGTCATTCCTCGTAGATGGACTCTCGCATAGACTTCTATTCGATAAGACTGTACAGATCAAACAGTTAGACGTGGTGGAGCAGCACGGCATACTCCTCTTCAGGGCTGGTGAAAAGGGTCGTGAAAGTAATGTCCATGTCTTTCGTCTGAACGAATTGGAAGCGGATGCTCCGACCAATCTGGATCTAGAGGAAGGTGAGGATGATGCAGAGGATGTGGAGACTATCCAAGTACCTGGTATCCTGCCAAGAAATAAAATGGCTAGGAATCGGGCACATGTCAAGGAAAGGAAATTGGAACGTACCAGAGGATGTCATCTGTATAGTCTGACAAGACCAGGAGGATCTCATTTGAAAATGGTATTTGTACCTAGCGATAAATCTTCAGGAGCCAGAATAAGAAATATATTCTTTCTATATAGTGTGTTGCAGTCGGTAGGCGTCTTACTGTTCTTCAGTGGCGCCACAGTGCTGCATGGACGGCCTGGTGCTCTTCAGCAGATACCGATACCGTTGATGGTTTTCTTCTGGTCAAAGAATTGACAGCTAGCGATCCGCCATCAATTTTAACCATAATTGAGGGCACTGAAATAACGAATGATTGGACACTTTGTTGTGGATTACGTCATCATTTTGAATTATTATCATCTAATGGCTCATCAAGAATTTATCACGTGGAAGCTGCACCCAAACCGCATCTAGTTGCTGCCCTGGATCTTCGCGAAGACGAAGAACCAGAATTATTGCTGTGTTACAACAGTGAGTGATCTGTCTGTTGTCAAAGTAATTCCCATAATAATAATGCGAATTCTCATTATTGCAGACACTTGCCATTTTCAAAAATTCTCGGAAGAGAGTGCAGCACCCACCGAATTCGACTTCACCTGGAACTCCGTTCCCACTACCGTAGGTCAGTATTTTTTTTTGTAAATTCTTAATTAATAGTACTAATTTTTTATATATTTGCAGCATGCGCTTTTCCTTACGTGATAGCCTTTACGGCGGACACCATGGAGATTCGTTTGATAATAAACGGCAACCTGGTGCATACCATAGTAATGCCCAATCTCAATCTCATATCTTCAAAGAGAGATATTTTCTTCGCCACAACTGCTCCGGAATTTATGTCAATAAGAAATGACAAAATTAATGAAGATTCTAGACATAATCGAGAAGAGAAAACTTGCAGTCCCCCACCATCGCCATCTTATGCTTGTGAGTCCACAATTCCTAACGTATGACGTATGTAGATTTTATTATAATATTTTTTTAATATCTGTCAATTAACAGCGTTTCAAGGTGAAACAAAACCCATAAGGATTTATCGCATACCCCTGCAAACACTGTCGCGACCAACAGTCACGAATTGTAGCCAAAAACGTTGTCCAAGTCCAGCTGAACCGGATATTGTGTCTGCTAGTCCTACATGTGATCGGAATTTTCTGAGTGCTGAACCACATAGAATTCTCAGTAGGTCCTGCAGTAGTAGTCCTACGCCTAATCAGCCAACATCCGTAGCAAGCTCGCCAGGTAGCAAGTAGAAGGCTAAAATGGATATTGTTGATTGTGGTGTTAAAAATTTGAAGAAAAAGCAGTGACGGAGGATTCTTGAATTTCTCCGTTACGTATTTGGATGATTCCTCAGCTCGAAGGAAATGAAAAAGAAAGTGTACAAAAGTGCACGCGTGTCTGATTATTCTATGCACGTCGATCTACGGCGATTCTTTTCTCAGACTTTTATTAGGTACCGTATAGGCATTCTTCCAGTAAGTTACCATGGGATATTGTAAGCATCCTCTAATGAAGATAAGAGAAAGAAATTGCAAAATAAATCAAAATTACGTTATATCTTAATTTTGTTATTCTTTATAATACTTTTGCTCCCAAAATATATAAATTGCATATTTTTTTCAACTTCCAATGATTTCAGAAGTTCATTTCGGGATATTGTATACCGACAGAGCACTTACTTTACAATTTCCAGGTACAGCTATCAGATGGCGCTAGTCATATCGCTCAATACCGATCACAGTACTAAAATGTTCTTTGTTTGATTGATTCAATTAATTTTTATATTTTCACGAACCATCAAGGTAACTCTTTGATTTCATTGTTTAATAAGAACACAAAACTTTACCGTTTTTTAAAAACAATATCCGACAATCTGTAGATAACATTTTCAACCTAAAGAGTAAATAATAAAACGGCAGTAACGATTAAATAATCCCTAACCGTGCATTACAATTAATTAAATGATCCACGAAGTAATACACGATATTTTCTAAAATCGTTTAAACAACTCAAAGTAGTGTACTTAAAACTACAAGTATATAGCTCGACAACGAGAGGAACAAAAGAAGTACAAAGATGAGATAAAGATACAAAGCGAAAGTAAGAAAAGCCAGAGATAACTAAAATCCTTGTCTCTTAGCAATAAAATTCGAAAGTTACTAATCTCAATTAAAGTCATAAATATTCTTATTAAGATTTGTACGGGGTATTACAAGGATCGTCGAATGTATCGCAAGGCATGTCCGATAGGAGCGTATTGGAGTGGACAGTTGGTTGTTGGATAGCAGCGTACTGGCAGGAGGAGAATCTGGCAGAAGCGAGCCGCTCTCTGGCGGCGATGCACTGTACCAGCGAGGCTGGCTCGGCCAGCCAGCTCGCGGTGCCAGAGTCAGAGGTTCCCCTGTGCGCGAAGGCTTGTAACTCGTTGTAACGTAACGCGAAGGTGTGCCGAGGCTGGCTTGCCTGTTACCTGCCGTAGTACAGGGACGGCGTATTGTGAAAGTGCGGTGCCGTGCCGTGTGCGTGTCCAAAACGACTGAACGTCTCGTCCGGATCAGGATTTTCGCGATCGAAGGAAAAAGAAGGACCTGTACGAGTACGTGGTGAGCGGAGCATGAGGTAAGTCCTAGAGGAGGATAATCGTCGATGGTTTACCTTAAATTGCACCGGGGAATAGGTTACGCGTTGGATGCGCACCAAGAGGTGAGCGTAGTCGACATACAGAGGTTATGTTTCACGATGAATTTTCTCTCTCTCTCTCTCTCCTTCTCAATCTACTCTCCTTCCTCTCTCTGGTTATTTATCTCGCTCGTTCTACCAATCTCTTGTTATATTCTCTCTTTCTTTGTCACTTCATGAGCCTTGGCAAATTCCTTACGACTTCACCACATGCCCTGTAGTGATCTTCGCGAATGGCAGTGGTCCTTCGAATGGCAGTACGCGTCGTGGCGATCACCAGAGAGTAGATTGGTGCGACATGAAGTACAGGAGAGCGTATGATACTCGTTATCACCGACTGAAATTTACAATCAACTTCATCAACACCAGGACGACAATAACCTCTCAATACGTTTGATCGTCTTATTCCACATATCTTCACCGACGTCTAACGGCTTCGTTAGGAGTGTTTTTTTTTGTCATGGTCACACCGTGTCCAGGTCTTGTGTGAAGTTTCATAACCGGTGGACTCCCGCTTTCCTTAACATTTCGCAAACGATCTGTCAGCTGTGTCTGTCGGTTCCTCCTTCCATGCCACCTGTCTGCTATTCCTGCGTGCACCGGGACGCCGCTCGATCCTCGCATCGCGACGCCTATGGCCCTTCTAGTCATACTCACCAGAGACTTATCCACGTTCAGGTACAACTTGTTGGTAATTTTCTATTATATTCAATATTACCTGTTTTGGTTAGTTCCTTTTATTAAAGAAATTTCTTATTCCTAGCTCCTGAAATTAGCCTAGAGGATACATCTAGAGCGGAGGAGAGAAGGAAGGCTTGTTGATATTTCGGCGCGCAGGCCTCTGGCTTGACAGCGCGACCGGCCTTGAGCTCCCCTCTCGTCCCTCTACTCTTCATCCTAGTCTTGTGCTCCTCGCTCTTCACGTCCCTCGCCATACGTCTCTCTGCCACTGGTCGAGCTTCGGCTCCCTCTTGATCTTCATAGAGCCCCTTGTCCTTCCCTACCCTACCCTACTACAATACTGTACCCTACTCTACCCTATTATCTTGCTTCTCTTTCAATGCTTCCTTCTCTTTCTTTTAGCCCTTAGACTCCCGACGACTCTACCACACTCGGGATGATCCTTGATCCTGCAATGCTTGTATTATTCATCCCTCAATCACCTGGCACTCCTAAGGCACACGCATTGGATATGTTTCGAGGAAGCTGAGATACTTGACATTTGCTCAAGGCTTTGCCTAATTCTATTTTAATTGTACTCTCCTTCTCTGGAGACAAAACGGGAACGGAGTAGCTAGCGGTATTGCGATTACGGTAATGGTATTGGAGCACGGTAATGCGGCGCGGGACTTTCAGTCTCCTAGAACTGTCCACGTAGGATAATAAAAGATGGAAGTTATTTGAGTATTACGTTATTTCTCTCTCTCTCTTCTCTCTCTCTCTCTTCTCTCTCTCTCTAACTACAAATTGTAACCTCTAGATGGACCTCGCATCACCCTTTCATACTGTGGAGAACAGGTACCTAATAATAAATCCGATTAGAGAAGCCTTATCACTACGTCTGATTCATAACCGTTTCCTCGAGTACGATAAACCGACCTGAAGGCCCCTACATGACTTTCCGCTCCACCTCGGAGTCGTCTTCGCTAACTACGGTATCACCATCACCCACCAGTAACGCCAGCACCACCGGCACGTCGCCACCACCGAGATAGAACGGCGTCGCGACGCTACCCGTGTAATCGGCAGGTTGCGCAAGTTCCCTCTCGGACGATCTTATCGTCGGGCTCTCTGGTTACGAGGCGCGTAAAAGAAGCCACGATTTAGCCGTAGCCTCTATGAAACTCGGGATCCTTGAGATGCGGATAAGCCTGCCGGTTTATGAATATTGATGAACCTTTCTCGACGCACCGCCTCGGTACTTTACTCAGGGAACAGCAACCGCACCTTTACCTCCTAACCACGCCGTTCCTCCTGGACTCGCGCTCTCTCGCCACGGTACCCACGTTTCTTCGTACCTAAGTGCACCCAAGGAATCTTCTCTAACCTTTGTCTCATTCCCGAGCACTGGACAATTCCCTTCTACGATTTACTATTAATCATTGCTTCTTTTTCCTTTAAGGTTATGTCACTCTGCTCGGCCAATCCACCGTCGTCCTTCCCACCCCGCGCATCCGTACGCCCGGTGAACCTCTTTCTCACCGGTGTCGCCATTTTCTCTCTACCCTTCCAATCGGCGTCTCTCCTTCGCGTTATGCCTTTTTGCTCGTAGACGTGTATCACGTTATCCTGACCCGACGTAACGTGGCGAATGGCCGCACGCGGCTGCACGTAACTGTACTTTCCGCTCGAACCAAGCGGCTCCGACCTTCTGTCGCGAATGTAACGTACCTTCTGTCCCTCGCTCGATTTCCACGAGTCGCCCCGTAAATTCGTTGCCGCCTCGTCTCTTCTCTCGATCAGCTAGAGAAGAGCCCTCCGACTTTCTTCTTTGCCTTTCATTCATGGCTTGCCGAGCTCCTCGGCGTCGAGGCGGACTGCCAGGAGACTATGCCAGGTGATTTTCAATTATCAATCGCGACGCGGTCTTACCCGTAACGCTATCGAGACTGGACGTGATCGATCGAGCCAATCTGATCGGTAAAGAATCGATGCCGATAGGGCGTGTACGCGGGATAGTTAGAAGAAACGTCGCGGGCAGCTGCCAGCCGGCTTGACAACCGGTTTTCGTTATGGCCGAGAGTGAAGAAAAATGCCCGAGCCAGGGGAATAATAATTTTAATCGATACCGCCAGGCCACTGGTTATCCCGTGTACGTTAGAATGGGCGAGATATTAAAGATATGCGGCTCTGGGACTCCGACTCGCTGGCTCACAGACTCCCTGACTCTCCGACAAGGCCCACCGGCTCTCCGGTGAAAGGAAAACACACACGTTCTTATGCGTAGACGGGCCCATACGTCGTTCAAACGTAACGAGTATGGTATGGATGCCATACGAGGAACGCTGTTAGATTACACGTGTGTGAAATTATTTACTTCCGTCCTAATGATCTCCGTCGTAATGAGGACTGTCGTTGTTCCTTTTCGTGTCCTTTACGTATTCGCGTAATCCTGTGGAAAAATTGATATCCGAGCACCGAGTGCCCAACGATATAAATAACCCGTGATACCAAGAGAATAGGCCGTGATAAAGAAAAAAAAGTTAATCCAACACGTGCATCACTCGCAACTATTGGAGTCTCGACAGTGCAAGTACAATCCCCTCTAAAACCTTAAAATAGGTGGATCTCCTAGGTCGGTCGTTGAACTCTGTCTCTCTGTTTCTCGTATTATATTTTATCTATCTGTCTCTCTTTATCCTTCTGTCTACTTTCTCACCACCTGCGCTCCAGTGGATCTACGACGATCAGCGTACAGAAGCCAGGTCGTCTGCTGTCGACTGCCAAGAGTTACGATAATTCATCCAGGCATACCAATCTGTATAAGGTCTTAGTCTTCCCGGTAGCCGTCCTTCGCCATATGTGTATTGCTCTTTGATGGACTACGTATTAGCCACGTAAGGCTGTAGGTGAGGTTAGGTCGTAGGTCGTTAAGGGTTCCTACTGGTGGTAACGCTGCTATAGTAGGTACAGCCACAGCTGAACCACAGTCCATTCCTAGACAAGTTCAGACGGAAAGGTGCGTCTCATTGGTCCTTCAAGTGCAAGGGTAGGTGTCGACGGGGAAGGTCTGACGGAGGTGGAGATGGAGGTGGTGCAAGAACGCGCTGGCAGTGCAAGTAGGGATGGTGGCGTCTAGAGCAGTGGGGGAGTTCAGAGTCATGCAGTCGGGAGTACTGAGTGCACACGAGGGTGATGCAGGGCTGGCAGGCGGGCAGGCGGACAGGCTTTGGTCTCCAATGGGTTCCCTGTTGTACTGCGTGGCTCAAGTGCACGTCTGTTTCCAGGGTGGGGATAGGGGACCTTGAGCCGTGTCACGTGACCCCGAAGGTGCAAGGGGTAGGGTTCCGAGGGCCTTGACCTTACCGGCCTGGGAAGAGGCTGACTCGGCTGTGACTGTGACTCTGACTCGACTCGACTCGACTGACTTACTACGGCCGCTTCCAAAAACGTAGACCCCTCATGCTATTCGTAATCTCCCGTGAGAGTGAGAGAGAGAGAGAGAGATAGGTCGGATTTTGTTTTGTTATGATCTCGATCACATATTCACGGTGCAGTTCCTTGATATCGTATGTCCATGATGGATATCTGATGAATCGATAGGTTAGGATCGTCACTTGGCAAGTTGGGCGGAAATCGTTGGATTTCTTTTTTCCATTTCCTCTGGTACACGGCTGAAGTTGATTTTGGAGGTTCCTCGGAGAGCATCCTCACGGCAAGCAACGCCCAAACCAGATAGCGACGTGACTCGACACCCTCGGGGGAGGCTGGGGCCCGCCAGGAATGCCGGTGCCGCGATTATCTATTTATTTTATTAATCGATAAAAACTGCGAGAACAGGTTCCGGCACCCATCTCTTGGCTTCTCGTCTCGTCTCCTCTCTTCTTCTCTTATCCAGTAACCCGGTGGACCGTAGTTGCCGCCGGGTTATTGCTGCATTTTTCGAAAACGAGATATCATCGGATTCAGGCCTACCCAATGTGCACCGTTCCCGTACATACTTTTCTCTTCCTCGCACGGGTATCCATAGGCAAACGCCAAAGTGACGAATAGAAAAAAAAAGGGCTTTGCCTCTTGGATTTTGGAATGCACAACTGGCTCCGGATGCAGTCTGGAATTCTTCGTTACCCTCGGCGACGCTGCACGATGTACGTTCACGTATCCGATACGCCTCTATACGCATACGAATTACGTACGACGCTACTCCTTCAGATATCTGATAGCTATCGGTATCAAGTAGGGTTGTAAAAAAAAAGCTTTACCGAAATACAGTTTTTTAAATCCTAGTCACGATCAAGTAATTCCGATATCCTGATACAGTGTTACTTATCGGATAACAATGTTTCGTCGAAGGCTATCTGCGTTATTCATGATTTCGCTATCTCTGTCTTCGTCTTACGTACGTGAATGGCGCATAGATCCATCTCTCTCGCACTCGTAGATGGTATAGGAGGATCGGAAAATCTTTAAAGTCATTGTATCGCGTACTCATACAATTGCAGCACGCGTCATGACGCAAAATTTTTCTCAATCATTTTTCTTTTTCTTGGAACAAGAATTAAGGAACTGAGAATTACAAATCACCGTTGAGGTGGCTCCCTCTTTTTTCTTTTTCTTTCTTTCCCACGTCATTGAAGCTTCTGGTCAACTCATACGTGTACGCATAGCACCGTGATGTCTGTTCGATATTGACCTCGTGGCTCCTGGTAACGCGTCCGTATCTCTCCCACCTCTTGCCATCATATATTTCTTAATTTTTCTTTTTTTCTTCTCTCCAGCGATCTATGCTTCTGGGCGGCATGCATCATATCTGACTACTTTTTATAGGACCGCCAAGGCAAGAGTCGTAGTGGTGGACGGTCACTTGGAAATATTACATACGTACACGCGTCTGTAGCAGTTGTCTATATTAATATCTCTCGGCATGTGCGTGTCCGTTTCCGCGCGAAGGTCGTCTGGGACCGGAAGTGAGTCGACCTTGCGGCTACGACCGTTATGCATACTCCGGAAAGTTTCCCCATTCTCAGGAGTCCATGATGACTCCCCCCCCCCCCCCCCCCC